TATATATATATATATATTTACATCATGATGAATATATAATTACGCGAAAAGAAACAGGACAGTCAATTTCGCTGATCTCATGTTATGTATAATTTGACTCTCCAATATCGTGACTAAGCATTTATGTTATTTTTTTTAGATCCGTAAGTAACTTAATTGTTGACGTATTAGTAGTTATATTACAGTAGTGGTATTATAAGAGTAAATATTTTATAATCGTCCTTCTCATTAAAGAAATATAAACGCATTTAAATTCGCGGAATCGCTCACTTCACCTTTGACCAAACATATTTTTTGTAAGATCGCACGATAGATAACCGTAATTGACAGCTACGTGCTTTTTTATTACTATCCCCAGCTAACTGCGTTTCTTTAACTTACAGCGATACCTTTGACTCGGAGCGCGCGTTCGGGATGCATATTCTACGCTCGTATTCAGACATTAATTTTTATCACGCTAATTAAATAGCTGATAGCCAATTTAATGGCGCTCGTTTTTTTCTCTCATCGAAAGCTTACGAAGGCGGTTTGAAGAGAATTCCACCGATTCCGGTCGAAAGACGAGCGAGCGAGAAAGCAAAGATCTCTCCGCAAGCAAAGCGGTCTCCGCGATTGCGTAACAAAAAATAGTCGAGTACAAATTCATCGTGATTGGAAAAAAAAAAGCTTACCTCGCAAATATTATTAAGCAATCGTGCATATGCATACGTGTATTATTAGTGCGCGTTGTGTCAAAAAAAAAAAAAAAATTTCATAATTCTTTGTGTTTAAGGTGCAACGTTCATACACGGCCTTATACGTTTATGCACATCAAAGTATAATCCAGTGCGACACGATCGGCATCAGGAAGATGACGGAGCGATGACGGAGCATCTCTCCAGGCGAATGTTTGTGTTTCGAAGATAATAAGATACTTAATAAATTAAATTTTAATTTTTGGATTTTAATTTTAATTAATTAATTTGTGATTTTTTTCCTGTACTTTTTATTCCGTTTAAAATACTTTTCTTCACTCGTAATTAAGGGCACAGTAGTTAATGGCATAAAGGGTAAATAGGGGCAATAGGGGGTATCCATTGGTTGGATCGAGCAGAGCACAGTTAGCCCTTTAAGTTGACATACATCAGCTAATATTTTCTCGTTGCAATGTGCGTTGATTTTTACGAAAGGAAGAGTTCCAGCAACGAGAATTGAGAGAGTTTGCAATTTATCCGATTTATCGGGAAGATAATCCCTTGAATAGATCGCCTTATTATATGTAAGTATTCGAAAGTTGTTCAATTTGGCATCGATCGTCGACATGCGAAATTATTTCGCTCTTCTTATCGTTCGCGATTCATTGATACGTGTGTATGTGTGTTAACGAGAAATATAGTTATTAAATTGCAAATCACCTACATCCGCTTCTGCGATGTCAAGTAACGAACTACCTTGTGCGTCATTGCACAAGATTGACACGATGGCACAAAGTTAGCGCGATATTTATAACAATATTTTTTCTCTATAGAGTGTCCTATATAAAGCATAGATCGATACTATCGCATTTCTTATAAAAAAAAAAAAAATTAACATCTTTTTCTTTTGACAAAAATTGAGGAAATGCAACGTTTTTGAGACATCTTTGTTTGATTTGCTAGTACAATGCATTTGCTGCTTCTTGATCCTTTTCTTACTGTTCCCTTAAATGATTCTTCGTGTAAAAATGTATGTGATTCCATCTATAATTATGTCTATATAATGTTTTACATTTTTATAATGAAATACTTGAAAAAATTTTATTTAAATTGACATAAAAATTTGGAAAATGTGCTTTCCGGCTCAGATATTAAATAAAGTACTTCTTTTTCTTTATTATATTCCACGTTTAACTACCATGGAGTAATGCGAAAACAATATTTCGACATGCTTGTGACTTTAAAAAAGTGTGAGAATATGATTGAAAAATAAGATATTTTGCATTTTTGAAAATTTTGGAAAACGGTATTTATATATTTTTTGACAAGGAATATAATGGTATAAATCTATAGTATCGATCCCTATCTATATAAAAAATTCTCTGTATACATAAACAGCTTAATATTTTAAACAGATTATGAGCACAGTAATTGAGATCGGTATGCGTTAGATATATCACATTTTATGTATACATTCGCGCAACATCGACATATTGGGATTCTGCGACAAAAAGTCACACGTGAACAGCCGAGTTTGAAAAAATTATTCGTTAAATCTCCATTCTCTCTCTAAACTCATTTGTGCAACCTGAGAAAATCATTTCGCTCATAAGAAAATCCTTGTCAAACTCCCGCGCGTCGCGCCGCCGTTTCGCCTGTCGCTCTCACGAGGCAACGAACGTCAGCGAACGTCAAGTACGCGAATCGGAGTATAGACGATTTGCCAGTCTAATCGTTTCAACGTCATCGCACGTAATTCGCGTTGCTTTTTAAACCAATTATATCCGATGCACCGCGGCGTGCAATGATCTTGCATTAGCCGCGGGCGTTCGCCGATCAATGTCACGCGTGTCGATCCGTCACCGGCCGAAAATGCGAATGGGCGTAAAATCGCCGCCGGCGGGCCCGACGACGTCGTACGCCGCGCTTCCCAACTAACCTACAAGCTAAACGATGCGTCGATATGGGGGTGTGCTCGTAGATATCGTGTATCGCTCGTAGAGAGATCGTGATGAGTCGCGACGCCCGTGCGTGCCGCTCGACGGCGACGTGGATCGAATCGGACGCGATCGCTGACCGCGCGAGTTCCGGATCGCGCTTCTTATAGGTTATCTCCGGATCCCCGCAGCAGTTAACAGTACGATATTGTCACGTACGTACGCGCGACGCATCTCAAGTATCGTCGAAAATACTGCGCGTAAACGGTGTTAAACGGTGTGAAATTTCTCCACTCACGGCATATCACATTTCGCACGGTCCGTCATGTGTCTTGCGAAGGTCAAGCCGTTTGAGCCCTTCCTGTCGATAGCTAGTTTATGTCTCGGTTTCAAACAGGTAATAAGTTTCCTCCAAGTTGTATTCATTTTTCATCTATAAAAAACGTTCGATATTATTATTCTATGATTACAGTTTATCGTTGGGACAGAACATAATGTGTGTCATATAATAAAGTATCATATATATCTATCATTCTTGTTATTATAATAATAGTACGCTTACATGCAAAATACTTCATTACTCCTCTTATGACAATGTTAAATATTTATACATTATCCCCTTCTTTTAAATGTATATAAGGTTTTTTTCTTCAAATTTGGTGGATTTAAAATTTATTGATGTTGCTTCTTATTCTTTCAAGTAAATATATAGATTCAATAAACAATTAATATGTGAAACCTTTGTTTTGTTACAGCAATACAAAAGAGCAAGTGTGACTACATTTTGGAGGAATTTTTGAATCGCATAAGTAACTGTTATATATATATAATGTGCTTGTGACTAAATATATATCTTTTACATTGGTAAAATAATGCTTAGGATCATCATATATCTTTGTATAACCTGACTGTAAATTTTGAAAATGCAAGCCAAGAAACGCTATCTATTATTGTTTGTCACATGCGCGTTTCTTGGTTACTGTTATTTCGGCGGATATCGTTTGAAAAGCGAAAAATGGACAGGCAGATCTCAGTTGCCTTACGAGCGATTGCCTTCATATTTAAGTCTAAATGAAGAATTCTATGACAAAGATTTAAAGACATCCAGCGGGACTTTAGCTATGTCCCAACGAGCAAAGCATTGTCGCATGGAAACCTGCTTTGACTTTACTAGATGCAAGCAAGGTTTCACCGTATATGTGTATCCAGTTGAGGAAGCGATAAGTCCATTATACCAAAAAATATTAAATGTTATCACAGAATCGAGATATTATACGTCAGACCCAGCACGGGCATGTATATTTGTCTTAGCCCTCGATACATTAGATAGAGATCCCTTATCCACTGAATTTGTACACAATCTTCCTTCTAAACTGTTGCATCTACCATATTGGAATAATGGAAGGAATCATCTGATATTTAACTTATACTCTGGTACATGGCCCGATTATGCAGAGGAATCGCTGGCTTTTGATGTGGGTTACGCTATGCTTGCTAAAGCCAGCATGTCCATCTTTAGACATAGGCCAAACTTTGACGTGTCGATACCTTTGTTTGGCAAACAACATCCAGAACGTGGTGGAGAATCCGGCCAAGCGTTAGAAAATAATTTTCCCAATAATAAGAAATATGTGGCAGCTTTTAAGGGGAAACGATATGTACATGGTATTGGATCTGAGACAAGAAATGCTCTCTATCACTTACATAATGGCAAAGATTTAGTATTTGTTACGACTTGTCGTCATGGAAAAGCTTGGAGAGAATTTCAAGATGAACACTGTCAGCAAGATAATCAGGAATATGATACGTAAGTAGCAATTTGTATAAATACTGAAATCGTTTGTTGGATTGCACATTAATATTATTTGAGACCAATATGTAATGGTATGTGTATGTTTCTTTGCAGGTACGACTATGAGATTTTATTAATGAATGCAACATTTTGTCTGGTTCCGCGAGGACGACGATTGGGCAGTTTTCGGTTTCTAGAAGCTTTGCGGGCGGGATGTATTCCAGTTATTTTAAGTAATGGTTGGGCTCTTCCCTTTCACGAGCGTATCGATTGGACTCAGGCTGCCATATTTTCCGATGAGAGATTATTACTTCAAGTACATTGAAATCCAAAAATGCATTCGAGCATATCTTGAAATAAAATTTTATTTTGTTTTGAGAAAAGTATAATAAAGTTCTATAAACTTTACAGATTCCAGATATAGTACGATCTGTATCTAATGTACAAATTCTTAAATTGCGACAGCAAACGCAATTCTTATGGGAGAGGTATTTTTCATCTATCGAGAAGATTGTGTTCACCGCGTTTGAGGTAATTGCCTGTTCTTGTTGCAATTTATTAGGATTTTATTTCCGAGAGAGATCTTCCTGTTAATTATAATAATCAATTTAGAATATTTGTGAGCGTTTGCCATGGGAAGGCATGCGAGAAAGAATTGTCTGGAATACTAGTCCCGGAGCACTAGTAATTTTACCACAATTCGCCGATAGCCAGCAAGAACTTCCCTTTTCAAACAGTAATCCTGGTAATACTTTCACTGCCATAATCTATTCGCAATTGGGATCTACTGCAGTTCTTTATCGCCTTCTTCGGAGTCTCGCAAAAAGCAAGTACCTAGATAAGGTAAGTCTACTTATTTACTCAATGTATTCTTTGTTATATCCTCTTTTGTAATATTATTTTATTATATTATAACATACTTTATTTTATTTAAGATAATACTTATGTGGAATTCGGACATTCCGGTGCCAAGAAAACCACGTTGGCAAGGTATCAAAGCGTCAATCCACATTGTTGCGGTTGACGGTATATCCCAACGTTTCTATCCTCATCCGTTAATCAAAACTAGTGCCATATTGTCGCTTGATGAAGACGCTACTCTAAATACCGATGAGATTGACTTCGCTTTTACGGTTTGGCGATCGTTTCCCGATCGAATAGTAGGATATCCAGCGAGATCTCATTATTGGGATGATTCAAAGGTATATATATAGCCAGCATTATTTTTGCCTAATTTGTATTGTTTTTTCTAATTGAATTTACTTTGATTTTATGCTCAAAGCGTTCCTGGGGTTACACCAGTAAATGGACAAACGACTATAGTATTATTCTTACTGGTGCCGCTTTCTATCATCGCTACTACAATACTTTGTATACCGAGTTATTGAGCTCGACCCTCCATAAGACCGTGGAACAATCGCAGAATTGCGAAGATATACTTATGAACTTCCTAGTGAGTCACGTTACACGAAGACCGCCCATCAAAGTGACGCAGCGCAAGCTATACAAGGACACTTCGGTAGCTGGAATCAGGTGGGTGTTGCTTATCATTGCGGCTATGTATATCGTTATCGTTATCGTTATTTCTAACACAGATGCCGCTTCTATTTCAGATCCCCGTGGAACGATCCAGATCATTTCATACAACGACAAACGTGTATGAATACGTTTGTCGCTGTCTTTGGGTATATGCCTCTGTTGCGATCTAACATGCGACTGGATCCCGTTCTGTTCAAAGACTCTGTAAGTAATCTACGCAAGAAATATAGGCAAATTGAATTAGTTAGCAATTAGGATTGTACATGCAATGCTCGAATTTTTGCGCGCTATTATTTTATTTTACAAGCGCGTTAAACACAAAATCTGTGTTGCGATACGATACTGGATCTGTTTCTTTTAATTTACTTATCTTTTTGTGTATTTGAAATAGAAAGTTTATATTAAGGAAACAAAAAAATGATAAAAAGGTATAGTTAAAAAAAGCAGATCTATTATCCTCATCGTGCAAACGTACGAGAGTAAAATATATGAGGAATATTTAAGCGTTTACGACCTACGCTGTTATGAATGTCATCGGGCAGTAAATCAAAGTCCGTTCTCCAGCAAGGACACACAGTGATATCTTGCGATTTATTTGTGAGTACTTTTGTACAAATTGTAGAACAAATTGTAGAATTGTAACGATGCAGTTTCTGACGATGTCTCACATAGCTATTATCTGCTGCGAGGCAGCATTTAATTGATGTACATACAAATCGTTTTATAATTATTAATAAGAAAAAAAGTTATTTAACAGAAGCGCTTAAACTTTTCACACACTGATAATTGGAATAATTTAAATCGATAAATTGATAGAATCATTTAATCGGTTTAATAAAAACAAAGGAAAAACAAATATCAAATTTTTCTGATATGCATGTTTTCATACATTGATTATCTTGCTAATGCTTGACATACAAGAAGCAAACAGATATCGTTTGTATGTATAATGATATTTTTAATCATGGAGATTTGCATATGTTTTTCTATCCGAATAAATGTATAATCCTTCTTAGATTTGAAAAATGTAAGAAATCGAAAAAGTCTAGAATAGACTTTGTTAAGTGCTTTTAGTAGTGGTGACGTGAAAGTCAATATTTGTATCATGAAAAGACGCGAAGAGAGAAGCAAGATTCGTTTATATTTAAAACAATTGTAAAGATATGAGGGTTTAATGAGATTATACATATATATCGATATATCGATTTTTCTTCATATCAAGTAATTTTGATGTTGTATGATTTATAGCGTCGCTTTACTAATCCCTTTCTTTCTTCTCCCTTTTAGAGAGGAGTTTTTATACTTCGTATATGCGAACTTAATTATAAGCACTTTGTATCCAACAAAGAGATTATGTCAATTTACTCAACCTATGCACAATATTTAGTGCATATTGTCGCATATGTTGTATTGTTTATTTTATGATCGCATTTTACTGATTGCACTGATTTATGAGTGCATTTGAAATTTCACAGTTTAGCAGATCTATTCGAAATACTGCCGAGTTCTCAGGAACACGTTTGAAAAAAAAGGAAAATTTCTCTGTCAAGGCGTCGCAACAATATCTAGTCGTTTACACCGATATACGCTGTTACACAATGGGAGAAATAATATGTAATCCCTCACAGAAGAAATATAATATGGCATCTATATTTGTCTTATCCGTTTTGAAAACGGAAGCTATCTGTATGTGATATGTTTTTAATTATCGTGTGCTTCATAATCGAGAAGAATATTGAAGAAGGTTTATATAATTTTTATAAGAATATAAGAACATAATTGTAAGATTCTTATAAGAATTATAATTATAATTACAAAAATTTTAATTATTCTTATAATTGTAAGAGAATTATATTAT